GTTACGTGAAGGAATATACGTTACGTGAAGGAATATACGTTACGTGAAGGAATATACGTTACGTGAAGGAATATACGTTACGTGAAGGAATATACTGATTCAATCCTTCAAAACTACATTGGCAAAGCTTATAATACAAAATATTAAAAGTTATATGAGGTAGAGGTTTAGTCCAATCAAAACAAAAAAGAAGCTATATCTTAATATTTTTACAGATTTTTTTTTCCTATATGTCTTTTTTCTTTTTTTTTTTTTAACTTTCTTTAAAGAAAGTAAAAGTGAGAGAGACATTTTATATCATGTTCTGCGACTCAGTAATTTCTATAAAAACAATAAATCAATGGAAGTTATAGGATGCATAGTATATATTGCTGATATTGCCACATAACTGGAATACATTCAATTTTACCTTTAGATTTGACAGGATGTCATGTTAAATTACCTTCCAGGGAAGCTGTACACAATATTCAGTCATTATTCATTTTCTTACTTGAATTCAACTTACCAGTGGCTCACATTGTTAAAATTCAATAATATTTGTAGCAATTATTTGAAGAAAAAAGTCATTTTACCTCAGAGACTGTACTTGAGCATCAAGGATATCAACTCTTTCTTGATAAAGAAGTTTCAATTTTTCCTACAGGAAAGACACGGGGAAAAAATGGTATCATTTGCTTTCTTCATAGTCCTGTCTTTATAAACAAACCTAGACAGCATCCACCTTCACCAATTTCCCTTGAAAAATATAAAGCTTTTGAAACACTAGTTTTGGAGAAAAACAAGTATTTTACAGTTTTCTGAAAGTCTGCAGAAGGAATGAGCCTCCCTTTTTCTTATTTCCACACAATTTGCCAGATCCTTATAGGGTGTCCATTGTACTAGCTCCACTCATTTCAAATGTCTACAGTAATTTACAAAACTGATCTTGTTTGTTGCGTTTGCCCCTCCCTTCCCTGAAGTCAGTAGAATTAGAAGAAATTGTACTGTTCTTAAGAACTTAATGTAAAGCTACTTATTTACAAAACTACTACCTGACAAAGGACTAGATATATAAATTGCTTTATTTAGCATTATAGTTAGTGATGATGAACCAGAGAGAACTCCAAGAAGTTACGTCTCTTTCTATGCTAGAGTGAGTCAATCAATATGATTCTCTTAATCCAAATATGACAGACTAAGGGGCACTTAGTGCAAAAAAATAACATCTTCAGTTATTTGAAAGCTAAGGGTTACAGAAGATGTTTTCTGCTTCAGAATAAACACAATATAACAAAAATATATTTTACTGGGAGAAATTAGATAGTTTCAATTTCATCTTGAAGAATCAAAACGTCCTTTAAATTCCACAGTGCATGCATGCACATGGATAAAATACACAAAATCTGAGGTCAACCATACTTCTTTCCCCAACAGATGGCAATGATAGACATTTCTTTGGCTATATACTGACGGTTATCTGCCTCTGCTGTCTTCCCCCCTCCACATCTCCCCCACCTCAAAAAAAAAAAAAAAAAAAAAAAAAAGAAAAAAAAAGAAAAAAAAAAAAAAAAGAACAAGCAAGACAGAAAACAATTGCCTTTGAATCACAACAAGATCTTCTGTCTCCCAAAGCACAGCATATGTTACTCAGGTCAGGGAAGATAAATTAGACAAAGTCACTTTTGCATCTTGCTGATCCTGCCCTGCTCCAGGAGCAGATGACTCATTGCAGCTAAATTACAGCACCAGTTCCCACCTGCCTGTGGGTACAGTTACTGCCAGGAATCTCATGAGCACTATAGACTGTGCAGCCATCACTGACATGACCCCCTTAAACCAAGTCTTACCTCTGAGAAGCCAGCATTTGCAGAGAGAGCGCCTACCAACTGTGTCTAACTGAATAATAATAATAATGATGGGATAATGAGAAGATCAGCTTCGAGGAAAAAGATTTCACCTCAGATTACGCTTCAGCCAACCAAAACTCATCCCATAAGGCTGTCGGAAAATTAATCATCAGAACGACAGCAGCAAAGATGCACTGAAAGCTTATCTAGAGGTATGACCCTGCAATGAAAATCAATACCAACCAGTTCTGAGTGCCATTTTTCTCCAACTGCTGCCGAGGCCAAAGCCTGCTTTCTGTTACGTACAGGTGACGAGGTGATGGGCTGATGCACACTACAGTCATCACCATCGACAGGCCAGGAGCTTTGAGTATTTGCCTAAAATAAAAATATTAATGATTCAGTTTAACTATGTAATCTGCTTATTAACAATAATTACATAAGTATTAAATATTCTAATATTCTTTACAGTAACATATAAGAACTAATAAAGAAACTAATTTGGACGGTAACCTCTGAGAGCAATGTTATCAACAGTAATCCATGGTTTGAAAGTGTCATAAAATTGTGACTGAAATTCACTTACATTTACACTGCCTTTAGCTAAAGCAATCAGGTCCCTGGGCCTTTATTAAGGCAACAGAAAAATAAGAACTTACTGAGGCATCCAGGAGAGTTTGTTCTCTCAGAGTGTGTTCTGCAGTTAAAAATTTCAGTTTCTGGTGGAGTTCCTCATTTTCAAGAACAACTACTCGTATTCGATCTTTCATCCCACATAATTCCTCCTATAAGATAAAGGAATTCAAGTAAAAGACTCCTTGAGACTGTATTATCAGACTTTTAAATATATGTTGAGAACAGGAGGCTGATTCTAGGTTTTCAAACACACAATTACCTTAACCCTTTTAAAAAGATAGTTTTTAGATGAAATCTGTTAGATGCAAATGAAAGTACTTCTTTAAAAAGAAAGGAAGAAAGAAAAAAAAAAGATAGTGTGCACTTACATATCTTTGGATACCATGAAGCAGTATGCAGGCTACCAAGATGCACAGTAAGGCTCAATATCTACTAAGCTGCATTGAGCTCAGTTTTGTTCATTACAACCATCACAATCTCAAGATAAAGTGTAAGCAATTTTAAAAATAATTCTTCATATTTAGGGGATCAGAGTTTTAGGAGGTAAAAATCAAAATGTTGCAAAATACCTTGCAGAACTTTACTTCAGCTTCTAGGTGGTTTATGTACTGGGACTGATCATTAATTATAGGAACAAGATCAGAAAGCGCAGGTAAATCTTCATTTGCTTCAGAGGGTCTCTGAAGGAAGCAAAGAATAGTGTGTTATTTTCTGTTTTTTTTTTTCCTCCATTTTTTTGCAATAAAATTTTGATTGCACACAATGTTATTTACAGTTTATAAAAAGGCATCAGGTACCTGATAGTTGTGAAGAGAGAAATAGTAAGAATTTTAAATCTCCAATAAAGTGTCACTTTTGTCAAAAATATACAATCACTTGATTAAGCAAATCCATTAAACAAGATTAAATCACTAACTCATTTGTAAATGATATTCATACCACTATTTAAGGGGATGATTTATTTTAGACAAACACAGCAGAGCATGTTTTCTTATAGAAAACAAAAATTTCTTTAAAGAAACTACTTAATTTTATATTACTATTGTGGGTATGCATCAGAGAATATAGCTGTAAATGCTAATTCATAATTGCCACAGAAACAACCATACCTGCCATTTTAATACCACTATAAAAATGCACACATTTTACTATAGACTGTGTTTATTAGAGAAAATTGTATTTTAAAAGGCACTTCTGAAAAACTCTCATTTCCTTTCTGACTTTATTCCTGAAGACTCTACTAATAGGTAAAAAGCTTCAACAGATTAAAAAACCCTCACTAACAACTACTGAAGACAGATCTTGAAGAAAGTCCCCAGTAGAGATTGATCAAGATAAAGAACTAACCCTCTGCCTTTTTTTTTCTGTTAAATAGGATTTAAGGAGATTTAAGCAAAATTCCTATTTTGTTAAATAGGATTTAACAGAGATTAAACTTGTCACCAAATTCGGTCAACGCACTATCTCAATAACTTTAAAGTGTTTACTCCTAAGAAAACAGTAAAAATGAAATAAGAATGAAAATAAATCTATCCTTAAAAATCTCAATTCAAATGGTCTCAGAAAAACTACAGCCTCTGTTTGATTATAATAATAAAATTCCTTCTTAGTCTAATAGAAAGGACTAAGAGTGAATACTTAATATATACACACTCACATATAAGGTGTATAAATATACTATAATATATAATTAATTATATAATTATAATAAATTGGTTAGATACAACAGTGATATACCTTAACAATAATTCTAATATGGTAACAATATAAAACATAAAGATGCCGATCTACAATGAAACCATCTTTGAATAACAAAGACATTTAATGGATATTATACCTTTATAATCAATTAAAGGGTTCCCATCAAAGCCTAATTATTTCTTTCAGCGTTGTTTTGTACCCTAGTTTGATATTTCACCCTGACAGACTTCATCTGCTAAAAGAACCCTGTAGGTGCATTTTAATGCTAGCTGACATATTTGAATTGCTTTGATTCCTGAAGCTAAAGAAAGCTGATCAGTGCAAACCCTCAAGTCTTCCTCTGTTAAAAAATAAAGAAACAACAACAAAACCAACAACATTGAATTGAGATAGTGAAATTGGGACACAAATTTAAAGTTGAATATATATATATATATATTTTCCACCATTTTATTGGTTTGTCAGACATTTGTCATAGTTTGAAGTGCCCTTCTTCATATTAATCACTAATAAAGGTATGAAGTGTATAGAAAGTTTGATAATAAGGGCCTCTCACAAACAAGTTATATTTCTAATATTAGTTTACTATTCTGGATGAAGAGACAAACCTCTTGGTACTAGTTTGAAAACAATACAAACCTATCATATTCTATCTCATATAAATTTTGACTACATAGATGTATGTTATTTTATGATCAGTTCAAAATAATTTAAACTGTTTGAATGTTATAGAAGAAACCAGACTGATAAAAACGTTAACATGCCAGCCTTTCCTCACTGAAGATGGATACGAGAAGTATATTTGACAATTGTCTGAAAATGTTTATGAACATGATTCATAAATAAACAAATCCATCTACTCTATGCTGTAAATCCCTGGATATCTTTTTTTTTTTTGTATTTAAAACAAAAACCCTAAGAAAATTCTCATTATAATAACAAAAAAATGAAGACAAACACAGCGAACAAACAAGGCAGTTGGAAGTAATTATTTAACCACTTCCAATCAAAGTTTTGGATTTAGTGCAAAACTACCACTGAAATAGGAATTATTTTCCATGCTGACAGACCCATTCAACACTATACTTGTTCAAAATCCAGAAGAAAGCAGCGAATAAACAAAAACACATTCTCTCTCTCTCTCAGCTCTACATTTGACATAACTGTCCGTCTGCCTCAGTGAGGAGCAACTGAGGAGACACCTGAGTGAATATCCAGGACTATCCAAGAAAAGCAGTCCTAGAATCGATTCTGACTTTTCAGTGAACCCCACCAGGGCCCACAACACGTAAACTCCAAGCTCCATCAAATCTGAATTCACCCTGCTTTAGTGAATATTAATCTCAACTAGTTTATACACAGCTTTAAGAAGCAGAACATACTTGTTAGTATACATGTAATGTACTTCCAAAATATTTGTATTCTATTCCTCCAGCTCCCTCTCATCCCTCACTGCTTTCTGAGAGTGTTATGGATACTTTTTGGCTAGCAGCTCCAACTATTCATTGACAAAAAAAAAAAAAAAAAAAAAAAAAAGCAGGAGGAAAAACTCCAATTATATTCAAATATTGAGAATTATATTCAAATAATATTTCATCAAGAAACAGAACAAACATTTAACATGAGAACCTTTCTATTGGTGTAACATATGCCAGCAGTGATAAGAGAAATGATTTCACTAAAGGGAACCGAGTTAATGTATATTTTCTTGACAGAAGAAGAAAGGAAGACTTAAGACAATTTATAACGTTATCACTATGATATTTCTTTATTTAAGATGTCTACATTTGCCCTTTCATAGAGCAAATGACAGTTAGATAATTTGTTGTCTTTTATTTTCATTACACAATTGTTGTCTCTTAATTAGGGAACAGATGCTTAATATTCTAATTACAGCTCAAAATAACATGCATTAGAGGGTGAAATAGTAAGAGGCTAGAGAGGAAAATATTTAAGCCAACCMAAGTTTTAAAGAACCAAACTTCAGAACTGAAAAATACACGCAATCAATATGAAACAACAGAAGTCTCAGGAACACTGTTCATATTTGCATGCCTAATATCCAGAAGTTTCCCATGTAAACATGGGAGTTTTATGAAATGCAAATGCTTGGCAGCTTTAGAAACTTGTTTTCTACACAACAACAAATGTTTTTGCCACCACAAATAAATTGCATTTCAGAGTGCCTCACAATTCAAAACCTCCAAACCCTAGGAATTGAGGACATTTTCAACCAGGCAGTCTTGCCTACAAACTGGCAAGACCCAACGGGAGGCAGTCACAAGGGCTCCGCATGGACTGAAGGTGTGGGGAACCTATGCTGGGTGCACTAAGGTAGCTGAGAGCCACTTGGGGACGTGGGCTTCAAATTGTTCTACTACTAGCTCATTTTTGGCAGGGAAGAGTCACTGGCACTGCTTAGTATAAACCAAACCAGTAAACGAAGGCCATGGGAACAATGTCTTCAATTCTTTTTCCTGGAGAGATACAGAACAACCACCAGATTGGACAGTTCTGTTACTCTTCCTTGGTCTATTTTGGTGCAGATCCTCTGCAAGAAAGAGGATCTGCACCAAGATCTACACCTTTACACTGTGTAAGGGTACCCCTGCCATGTAATTATTTTTGCCAGAGAATCACTGCATTTTAGTAAAAAGCTACAGAAACTGTTATAGAGACCTCTCCAATCCTCTGGAGAAAAGGTATGTTACAGTGTAAAGAAAGCCTCTCCGCATCCTCAAAGTAGAGTGCTAAAGATCAGCAAAGACAGGCTAATTTTACAGAAATCTGTCTTTGCAGTCAGTCTCAAATGTTTCCAAAACCAAAAGGATGGACTTTGGGTGGAGAGAAGATAAGGAGAAAAGTAATGTGATCTTCTAATCTTCCATTTAAAAGACGACAAGTCTAAATGCTGTATTGAGGAACTCCTTGTTTTTCTGCTGTGGTCATAAGCATATTCAGTTCTGGCTACCTCCTTGAGGAACTTCTACATTCAGAGAGATTAAAATAATCTCATTCTTCACTTTCATACTTCAGAGAGTAGCATATATGCTGTTCATTCAAATAACACAAAGAAATGAAGCAGAAATACATACAGAGAAGGACATCTTCCTCAACGGGGAGGCTTCACTCTCCAGTCTTTCCTGATTTTGCAGCAAAGCTTTAAGCTGATTAACTATGAAGAGAGTAAAAAAAGAAAAACTAATTAATAATCAAAAGTCTTTCTTGTTTGAAAGGAAATATTATTTATAACATTCCTGAAACTATTTGCTTTCAGAATAATCTTACCTGCATGACTGTGCTGCAGCTCCTGCCACGCTGAATTCTCTCTCTCATCTCCTCTGTCCAGAGAAGACTGATCAAATCCAGCTTCACTCTCACCCGTTGCAAACTGTCTTTCCTCTAAGGCATATTTCAGTTGATGGATACTTTCACTAGCACGCTCTGCAGGCAACCACATCATTTGCCACAAGAAAAGAAAAAAAAAGTATTTACTAATAGATATTCTAAATATGTTGAAATTGTGTATATATATAATGTATGTGTATATATATATATGCTGAAAATTTATACATTTTTTCAGCATCTATCTAGCTTGACTGTTTAATCCAACCCAGCCACTGGAAGCAATTACATAATACAAATAGCCAAAACTGCTATATGCCATAATTTACAGTAGAACCACTTCTTATTGTTTTAAAGGACAAATTACAAATAGCATCTTGGCCTGGTTATACTTTAGGGTTCTACAGCAGTGCAGGGAGCTACTATTAGAAGTTCCCAGTAGAAGCTTCAAATACTAGTCATACACTTGATCCTAAATTATTTCCTAGCATATAAAGCCTCATTGCTTTTCAAGCAAAATAATAGCTTTCAATCTATTTAGTTTGGTGTGTGGGATGGGCAGCATTTCTGAGTTGTAATAAGACACTTTGCATAAATTCATCTAGCAAAACAGAACCCCTCCCTGCTAGGCTGAAATCTAGAAGACTTCTGAAAGTCTTTCAAGAATTCACGAAGTAACTCAGAGGTGACATACGGAAAATGAGGAAAGACTGTTATTGTATTCCTTTCATATATACCTTTTTTTCTCATTTTATTCATGAAAGAATGGGAAACTTTCTAACCATAAATACAGAGATATAAATGCTGCATCACTCCGATGCAGCTGACATAAAACAGACATTTGAGAAATCTGCAGCTGAGAGATAATGAGCAAATTGGGAGTCTGAAAATATGGGCTCAGTTTTAGAAAATAATGAAGGCAGTTCACTCCAGAGGCAATTCACTCATTACTCATCTCTATTTATAAATAAGAAGTTGGAGGACAAGTATTCAATTCTTCTCCCCTTTAAGCAGTTAAAATACTGACTAGACTAGGACAGACTTAGAGCAGTGACTACATTACTACAGAACATATATGGCTTTAGGCAGCATTTAGCAAAGCAGGATTTTGAAATTCTACTGTAATGCCAAGCGACCTAAGAAAATAATCCATATATCAGTCAAGGAGCATAAATTCTCAGAYAGACACTGCCCCATCACAATTCACAGCCTCTTCATCAGGAATCTAAAACAACATTTCTTTTATGTCTTTTGTGACTAGAGCAAAACTATCCTCATTTAGAAAATTTTGTGAACAGTTAGTAATAATTAAAACAAAATACCTACGCCTCAACTTCTAAAGTATAAAATCATTGCTGTTTCCTTAAATCATCGTTCAATTCTTTACAAGTTTATTCTACCTCAAGACTACTGTATATGAAACATTCAGGTGCAAATCCCCACAGAACAGAAATATCACTCGTGAGACAAGGTTTGTAGGGAGAGATGTTAACGTTAACAGATGTCCAATCTGTTATCGGAGCAACTGCCACAGTTGGAAAAAAACAGCAAATTTTTACAGCATACAAGTCCTTCATTTATTCTTACATGCTCGTAATCTGTATATTTATAGTTATGTATAAATAACAATTAACTAAAAATATTTTTTTTCCTCACAGAGGGAAAAAAAAGAAAGTGAAAAATGAGTTACGCATTTGCTAGCTAGAACTCAGAAGACAACCAGAAGCAGATGTTAGACTCTGAGGCCTAAAAGTGACAATAGTTCCCTTTTTCACACTTGGAAAGAGGAGTAGCAGCTCAAGTCAAGGAATAAAAGTTGGGCAGGTATTTGGGCCCTCACTTTACCTGCCCTTTGGAATTTCACAAAATCTCTACTAAAGTTGGAAAAATATTTATTTTTCCTCCTTTTTTTTTCCACTTCTGTTGGATTTAACAGTCTTTCTCATTCTTTTTCTCCAATTGGTTACAACTCATCAATAGTTCAGAAAAAACACACAAAGAAATAAAATTTAAGACAGTTTATAGTCCAGAATGCCATCTCTCTCTGTGTTGATTTTTAGCAGTACTAACTTTTAATCAAACCCTGACCYACTTCTCACATTGTATTAAATTTCAGTACCCATTCTTAAAGGCCAGTCACTAGCATAGCATAACTTAGCACTAGCATAACCTCTTCGATTTTCAGCTACTCTATCCTTTAACTGAGCTTATATAAAAAAATGCATTAAAAAACACACTTTAAATACTTAAGACAGCAAAGTTATTAATATATTTCAAGAAGCAATGACTCATGAAAGAAATAAAGAAGCTTTTAGCTAAGCTACTCCTGCTGACTAATCAGCATCCTGAAGTTGTTCATCCAATCTTGAGTTCTTGGACGCTGTTGGAGTGGGAGAGTTAACCAAGAAATGCTGCAAGTTTCTCTCTAATGCAATATCTTACATATTTTTCAAACTATGTTGCAACTAGTTGAAGCCAAAAGTAGTTTGATACCAGCTAAGGTATTTAAGTGGTCAGTCATCCAAGAGCAGAAAATTGTCGTTATATATCTTTCACTATAGGCTTCAGAGATCCTGAGAGGCTGAATATTTGCTTTTACGCTCTATACTCAGTGATGAACTCCCTCTTTGCAGATGGAATACAGCAGGATAGCTCCTGAACTCCATGCTTCCACTTTAGCCTCAGAGATAAGAGATTTGAAGATGCTGTGCTCTCTTCCTGCAATATTTTGCGCAGCAGTAGGAACGAAGCACATTAAAAGCATCATCCATGTCTTACCAACATCCACTTTTCTTGACCAAACTTTCCCACCTCCACAACAAAGCTACCATATTTTTGAAAGCTGCCTCAAAATTTGGCCAAAGTCTCTTGAAAGCCTGACGGTTTCCAAACTACAGCAGCTGCTACGAGAGCTCACCAACCTGCCAGCATGGGAGGTTGGAGCTTCCAATATCTGTGCTTAGGATTCCCTAGGCAGAGAGGACCTGGCAGCTACATCAGTAAGAGATGAACTGGATCCGTAGAAAGGAAAAGTAGATTACAAAACTTTCTAAATAAGGAGTTAATGAAATATTACATAGCCGAGCTACCTGTGTTGCTCCTACCAATGCAAATATACCCTTTTTAAATCTGAAAGAAGCAAAAAGAACCTCTTTGAATGCCAACCGATAGGCATCAAAGAGYCTTTATTAAAAGGCAATATGATGATCTCATAATAAATTCAAAGTCACTAATTTTCAAGTGCCCCCMTATTTAAGCCAATTATGCTGGTTAGACTGTTACTGTAATTGTACCTTTTATAGAAACTAAGCCTCATTGCAAATGTAATGCAGAAAACTACTTATATGTAGTGCTATAATTTGCATACCTACAATTTACTCTCCTTTRTTCTCCTTCTCTGTGTCCTAAGTAGCCTATACAAGCACAATCTTAACATGTTTCTGTTGTACAAGAGCTCCACTCATGTCTTATACAGGTAAACCTAAGAATATGGATAAAGCTGGACTTCTCAGGATTAAAACATCAAGAAAACAAACAAACGTCCAATGCATTGATAGCCCAGTGTTTAAAAGGATCTCAGCTGCTGCTGTTAAGTGACAAAACAGTAACAAAAACTCATGGATATAAATAAATAGGAAAAGTCTAACTGCTCCATCAAAACCTTGTCATTTTTCAACTATTGAATAAGAATCACAGGAGCACTGTACTTTCCATATGGGACAAAAATACTATGTAGTGCCTCAGGAATGACATAAATGGCTGAAAGAAAGCAATGTATTGCTTATTATTCCAATGACAGAAGCAAACAGCTCCTTTAACCAGAATCTGGTTCATGCCACTTTAGCTAAAGCTTTTGGCTACATTAATTTATGCATAATGTTTTAGACTTAAACACCAATTAACATTTAAAAAAAGCACATAACAACATATATTCTACACACTGAATAAAGATAACTCTATGTCCTGAAATAAGTATTGGTAATTCATGTTATTGTTTCTATTTTTAGGCTGAGAGAGCTGGGCCTATTCAGCCTGAAGAGAAGGTTGAGAGRGGATCTAACCAGTGTCTATAAAACCCTCAAGGGAGGCAGTGAGAAGAATGGGCCGGCATCTTTCCAGTGGTGGCCAGCGACAGGACTAGAGGAAACGGCCACAAACTGAAGCACCAAAAGTTCCCCAGGAACTTAAGGAAGAAATTCTTAACAGTGAGGGTGACAGAGTCCTGGAACCTGGAGGTTGTGGCAACCTGGCATAGAGGTTGTGGAGTCTCCTTCTCTGGAGGACTTCAAACCCCGTTGGACACAATCCTGTGCCATGTGCTCTAGGTGACCCTGCATGTGCAGGGGGTTGGACTAGATGATCTCTAAAGGTCCCTTCCAACCTTACGGATTCTATGACTGTACTTATTTTTTTTGTAACTACAAAATTTAAGTATTACACCATGAAAATACATATTTTAAGTATATTATAGGCATTGCTTTTCTAAAAAGCATCTTGACGGTAATAGGGATTTTTTCTGGTTGGGAATGTCACTTCTACTGCTAAGAACAGTATGTCTGTTACATTAGAAACACATTAGCTGATTCATTCTGTTAACCAATAACAATAGAAAAGATCAAATTATAGGCGAAAGTCGGAATAATTTGAAGTAAAATACATGATGGAAGAGGATGCTGCATGTTCAAAGAGGTGATAATCAGCTCTGAAGCAGGGGGGTGGAATTGTGAGAASAGCGAAAACAGAAAAAACAGAGGAAGCATTGAACTGTGTTTGCGTAACCTAAACAGAAGACTCTTTTTTCAGACACTGCCCAAGACTGTCTACAAAGAGGACTCCCTTAAAAGAAAGCACCAAAGCCACCTCATTCATGAACTCAGAAATGCCACAAAAAATACTGAGAGCTAGCAGAGAGCTGAGCAAAGGAAGCAGTTCCTCAAAACAACAGAATTGCCTGAAAGACAGGGAAAAGAATTCCAGCTTGTAGGAGAGAAGTGTTAAGCAACAGAGATTGAAGGAAAACAAACTGCAGCTGTATGAAAAGGTTACCATGATTCTATCAGCTAAGGTTACTGGTCTAGTCCTAATAAAGTTCACAGGAGGACTACTGGGACTCACGGCTATAAACACAAAGAGCTCATTTGCTCTTATACCATGGTTCCCAAACAGAAAATGGTCCCAAAAAGACAGAGAGGAAGGAATTACTGCAATTCTACTGGGATTAAAAATAAAATAAGAAAAAAAGACAAAATAAGAGGCAAACAGAAGACATAATCACACCAGTTAAAATAAAACTAAACAACAACAACGGCATTTAAAGAGCTTTTTACTGTCCAAAAGTACTTCAGGTCTGACCTTGTTTTTATTGGCACTTGGGAGCCTAAAGGACTGCATAACGTACTTCTGTATGGGTAACATTTTAGCCTATTATTTAAAAATACCAAAGAAAAACATGCAGCCTACACAGAAGAGTTGTACTACCTAGTTATCTGGAAACGTGAGGTATTCAACAACGTAACTTTTTGTTTGGACAAAAAACCAGAAACCCAGTTAACTCCACTGAAATATTTGCAGCTCTACTACTGCAGAGATTTTCACCAAAACCTGGCCTTCAGTAACAATATTTCCACTCACTCACTTAATTTAAAATATATATTACCATGTGCTAGCTGTAACCCATTTGCTCTTCCCATTCGAGGAGCACTGGGCAGCAAGTGAACAGGTGTTGCTCGTAATGGGATTTCATTACCAAGTTCCAACCTAGAAACCTGCAAACAAGCTGAAAATCTCCTTAGTTTTTACTGTGTTTTGGTTCTTCTTGGAGTTTGTTTACTTACCTTTCTACTAATATTGGCTGCCAATGCCAGGTATGCCTATGACTTACACAGCACACAGCAGTTTTGAGACTGAAGGATTCCTAYCAGTTAGAGCCTCTGCTGCTGGAAGAACATTCAATGATGGCAATGAATGATTAAGAGCTGATTCACCAACCTCAAAAGGCCAGGAGATGCGTTTAGCAAACAGATATCACAAAACTGTGAGTTACTGATTCACTTATTTGACTCTTCTGTCTTCATATTTCCTTTGCGTTATGTGAGAAACAGACTATTTTAACCCACTGATACCCATTTAGCAGCTGTAAAAGGAGGCTATTGCTGCTTGTGTGAAAATCTACACATAATAACAAAAACTGTACAAATACCACTCTCTTAACTCTATATTACAATCACTAAAGTCCTTAAAGTCTAGACTATTCAAGAGTGTTGTTATAGGATCCTTGCTATTTCATCAGAAACCTCTGTTGACTTTAAGTCCAGTTATTACTTGGTCAGGACTTCTAGTCTCTTTCTGTTCTCTGACCACCTGCTTATGTTYACTGGAACCTAGCGCACACTGGGACATCGTGAGTATGTCCTAAGGGACCTCCCTTTCCAGCAGAGGACTGTATATAACACTAAYAAATAAAGAGTAAATAATGTGCTCTTGAGAACTTACACAACCTTCCAGCACAATGAAGAAGACCACAAAATGGTTCTTCTGATCTCCAGGAAGGATGAGGAGAATCTGCTGCTATGCATCCACCTGCACCCAGTCAAGGTCAAGCATTATAAGCAGTTTAAGAATGTCRCGTGTCAAAAATACCAAATCATGATGAAGGCTTGCTACCTAAAATCCCAGAACCCAGACTGGAATTATATGAATTTGCAGAAAAGTCTCAAACTGTATAATTATATTTAAAAAAAAAAAAAGAAAGAATTTCTAAGGAGTTGGTTACAGCAACTCATGAAGTAATAATGGCCTATAATAATCCTCAGTAAATCAACTGCTGCTGGTGCTAACAATGTGAGGAATGTTTTAGAGGTCAACAGCGTTAAAAATCGTTCATTACTAAGAAACAAACAGGTTGGTTGGGAAACTTCCTGGAGCCTGTGTGACACTCCCCTGCRCTGAGTTATGTTTGCAGTGTGACCCTACTGATCTCTACTCACCAAAAGGAGCTCCTGAGGCTATGGGATTAGTTCTATCTGCACAGCATGGAAAAAGGTCCCATGTTTCCCAGCATAATGTGGAAACCGGACAGAAATAGCCACCAGAAGGCCCAAAGTTCTGAGGTGACGTAAAAACTGTAACCAATCCAATGCAACAGAACCACAGCAAAAACAGGAAATGGGAAAAAATGAAGATTGAATGGGCAGCTTTAACGCTACTGTTTGTGTACAGTGAAAGGGCCCAAGCTGCAACATTCTTGCAAAAGGCCCTTTGAAGTTCCTGAAAGGTAAAAGTCACTTGCAGTATCCACCTAACGAGATACTAAGACATACTTCAACTCCATATATCAAAAGGCTACCTAACTATGAAGATATTAAGAATTCCCCATCACCCCAGTAGCTTTTCTAGAAACTCTCTTAGAGCAACTGAAACGTATAAAGGACCTAAGACAAAAGGCAAAAAATCTGGGCTCTATTGCCAAGCATTGCAAAGGATATTTTCAAAACAAGAGTGGTCTGAATAAACAAATGAACTCGGAAGTCCTTACCAAATTACACACAGACAAAAGACCATTTATATACCAAAATATAGATGTTTTTTAAACAATGCTATCCCTCTAGGCATGGAAACCTCTTTAAAAAAGCAGAAACATTATGCCATCAGATGATTTTCAGAGCAGCAATACCATGGCTGCTCAACTGTAGGCTTAAAGAAACAACAACAAAAACTCTGATTATTCAGCCCATCTGGCAGCATCACATGCAAAGCTTTATTCTTGAAGAATTGAATAGAAAGTCATTCATATCATAAGAATGAGAAGAAAAAAAAAAGTCTTCTAAATTGAGTTATGTATGGCAATTCTTATTTTTTAATTCATCACTTTTACATAGCACAAATGGACTCTACACATCTCAAGACACGTTCTGATTTCTCTGCTTTTAACTGTTCTACCTGTTGCTCCTAAATAACACTTAYACGTTTATTTATGCTACAGAAAAAGTTACTCAACATGATTCCTCAAAGCCCTGTTTTCAGGAACAAAGCAAGATACACTCTCAGGACAGATAACTTCCTATTTTGAGGAAGAAGCTTGACGTATTCACTAAAAATAAAGCATTGGGCAGCTACTAAAGATATGCTCATTGTTCTCGTGAGAATACTTTCCCCTCTTCTTGTAACAAGGTGTGCTTGGCGGTAACTAGCATTTCACCGGGCAAAGAAAGCMGAGCACCGTGCACAAACCAAGGGAAAGCTGAAAAGGGGCAGCAGCCCCAGCAAAGCCAAGGCCACGAGCAAGCCCTCGGGGGGCAGCCCCTGCGTTCCGGGTGCGGGAGCTGCCCGCCGGCTCGGGCAGAGCGCGCGGCGGAGCAGCGAGCGCCCGCGGGCACCGCCACGGGCACCGCAACCTGCCGAAGGAACGGCGGCAGCTAACGCAGCCGCGCGGACGCAGGGGAGCCCCCGTGCAGCGTTGCCAGACGCTGTATTTTCAGATGTATTCTGATTTTTTTTTTTTTTTTTTTAAATAGGAGCTGCAACTCCAGAGAGCACTTTTCGGAAGGAACAAACAAACGAATAAATAAACGGAAAGCCGGGCAGTCTCTCTCTCTCACACACACACTTTAGGTTTAGTTTCCCTCGGGCTGCCCGAGCCCGCAGTTGCCGCTCTAACTTTGCGCCCAGGGGTCCCGGGCGGATCAGGGGAGCGGGCGCTGCGGAGCGGGGCTCCCGCCGCTCCCCGAGCGCCGCCGCTCCGGTGCCGGGAGCCCCGCGGTGGCCCCGCGCCGGCGCCCCTCACCTCGGAGGCGCCGCTGGTAGCGCTCCAGGGACTCGTGCAGGGCGGGCTCGCCGCAGGGAGCCCGCATGAGGAGGCCGCGCGCCGTCCGGCCCCCCACGTCGCGGTCAGTCACGGCAGAACTACGACTCCCACAGTGCGCGGCGGCCCCACGGCCTCAACCGTTGCCACCCGCCAACGGCCGCGCCGCTGGTTACACAGGGCAGGAAGAGAGACTACAAGCCCCAGCAAGCAGCGCGGCGCGCAGTGCACCCTGGGAGCTGAAGTCCCTATAGGCGGCCTGGCTCTTTGTTGTGGCTCGCAGCTGCTCTCGCGCGTGCGCACTGGGCACTCTTCCGCCCGCGCTCCCGGCTCCGCCGCGGCTGGAGGGGAGACGCGATGGGCTGGGGGGAGGGGAGCGCTACGCTGTAATTCGGCGCGTGCGCACTGGGCGCCCGCCAGGCGGTGCGGACAGCGCCTTCGCTCTCCTATTGTCCGAAGCTGGCGCATGCGCAGCTGGCTCCCTGCGCCGCTCGCCGTTGACGCCTGCGCGCTGGCCTCCCGCCGCCCCCCCCCGTGTCATTGTGTGCGTTCGGGCGGCGCGTGCGCAGTGCCGCGCCCCGCTCTGCCCGTTAGCCGCTATGTGCAGGGAATAACGTTAGGGCGGTTGCCAGAGGGACCCGAGCGCCGCGTCGTGCCGCGCCGCGGTGCCGGCTCAGTGAGCGCCGCGGCACCACCGGGCACCGGCCTCCCAGGAGGGGTGAGTGCGGGCCGGGGGCGCGAGCCGGGCCGGAGCGGGGCCGCCGTTAGCCCGCCCGCCATCCATCGCCCGCCGCCGCCGCCCATTGTGCCCGCTCCGCTCCGCGCCGCCGCTGCCGCCTTCGCTGCCCTTCCGAGCCCGCGAGGCAGCCTCCCGGCGGTGGTGCCGGTGCCGCCGCCGCCGCGCGCCCCCGCCCGCGTCCTCCCCACCGTGCCCTCCCGCGGAGGGTTTCCGCCCCCCGCGGAGACCCTTCCACCGCGGCTTGGGCTTTTTGTCTGCTCGTGCTGTTTCGCTTTGCCTGCCGCCCCTGTCTCAGAAACCGCCCCCGCAGCGCTGCTCGCAACGCCGTGCGTTTCTCCGCGTTTGAAAAATGCCCCACGGCGTTCGTTTGACATGCGGCGTTTCCGCCCCCGTGGAAGAGCGGCGTTGGCGCGGGCCGCGGCGGCGGGGCCGTTGCCGCTGCCGCCCCTCGCGTTGCGCAGGCGACAAAGCGGGTGCCGCGGCGCGCCCCGCAGCGCCTCGGGCGCGCGCAGAGCAGCGCGCGCTCCCGCGTTTGCTTATTTATTTATCTATTTCTGCGTCTTTGCGCACTGGCTGCGCCTGCCTGCCCGGCGGGAGGCGGCGCCGGGCGCGCTTTGTGCCCGCGGCCTGGCGGCGAGCGCGCTGCGGAGCCCCCGGCGAGCCCGGCGCGGCGGCGGCGGCGGCGGCGGCCGCTGCTGCTGCTGCTGCTGCTGCTGCTGCTGCTGCTGCTGCCGGCGGGGCAGGGGCGCGGGGAGGGCGGCGCGGCGGGCGGCAGCCTCCGCGGCCGCGCTAAACGCCTGTCCTCTTAGCGCTGTTATTATTTTAAGCTGAGCCGCCTATTAGCCCGTCTGCTCATCTCCAGAATGGTATGTGGGGCAGGATGACTTCTGCAAACCGAACGCGTGTGTGATGGAGTATGCTGTGATTTCCTGTGATTAATTTCCTCTGGGCGTTATTTTGTGTGCAGATGCTGGGGAGTATGGCTGGAACTGAGCTCTCTCGGTATGAACGATCCTAACATTTATTTTGTACAAGGGGAGGAGGGAAGGTTAAACATAAATACATTTAAGAATTTTCCCTCCCTTTCTGATCTTCCAAGTTCTTCCTTACTCTTATATAAATATGTTTTGTTTTGTTTTTGGTTTGAATGTCAGAGTGGAGAGATGTGAGTATGCAGAGCATTTTGTCAAAAGCAGGACATAGGACTTTTTCTCTAGTTAATGAACTCTCTAAAAATGATTTGTAATGAATCAGATATTTTTTTTATATGCATTTAAGGAGACAATTTTGATGTGAAAGTTATTACCAAACATTCTTATCCTGGTATTGCATTTTCTTTGATATCTGTAGCCAACTATCCTGCAGGTGACCCTCTCCCGTATCAAATCAGGCTGGCTTTTGCAAATCAGAATAGGTTCTCACTACCTTGTGCTTCATTAGGTGTAATAGACCTGTCAGGAGAAATTYTTTAACAAATCCCTTCATCCCTTCTCTTGATAATTTTATGCTTATACAGTCCAGAGAAAAGCTGGTTTCCTTAAGGTGAGCTGGAGAGGTCCATATTCGCTTACAGATAGGAACAAGGAAGCTTCCTTGAGCAACTGGAACAAAGCCTAAACCACAAATAGCTGCAGAAATTGATTTCGAGGTCCCGTTTCCAGTTCTTTGAAATGCAGATAAAATGTATTTAATTTAAATGGACACCATACCTGGTACATCCTTGAATCTCTAAAAAGACAATTTCCTTGAACCACTGCCTTTCTTGGCTTTGGCAAGCAGAATCAAAGGGAGGTGGAACATTACTTTGTTATTCAGAAAGCCAAGAATATCTGTGAAATTCTGCTTTTGCTTAAAGAAATTTAACAGGGGAAGCAGGTGTTGAATGTGTTTAGATATCAAGCTTGTAGAAATTTTCATATCTACTTCTAGAATGTGTGAGGTTGTAAATAATGAAAAAAGGCCGACACTTCCCCCGCTTTGAAGAACTCAGTATGTGATGTAGTAAAAATGGGTAGGGCAGCACCYGGGAGCTTCTGCTCCTGCTTGAAATTTGAGCGAAGAAAGTTCTTAGTGGAGGATGGAGCTTTTGATTTGGTGACCGGGAGCTGGCGTTACGTGAGTACATCCTCCTCCTCCAACAGCTAGAGGTTTACAGTGACAGGGCACAATGAACCTTTGAGGGTCCTTCCTTTGACCTTTATTCCCTGTCCATGTTTGTTATGTTACGCTGCTGACCATGGTGCCTCCTCTGTCAGCTCCTTGCCTCGCTTACTGCCCATCTTCAGTGGAGTAGCTCCCCTTGCTGCCCAGGCTCCCGCTTCCCTGGCTCGCAGAGCATCCTCTCCATTGAACGGGGCAGGTGTCCAGGGAAAGGCAGCGTGTGGTCGCTTAGCCTCAGCACGGGCTAAATGTGAGCAAGAGTGGGTGGAGGCTGCCAGCCATTGGCTTAAACAGCTTTATGGATCCCTGTCTCTTGTACAGTTATAAGCATACAGAAAATATTAAAAGAAATTGCAAAGGCTTGTTTTTTTCCTCCGCCCCCCATATAATTTAGTTTTTTAGCCTCTATCCTATAAAACTTGGAAAGCTGTTTTCATTTTAGAGCTGTCTTTAGTTAGAAATTATATGACCTTTATAATACAGATTTTAGGTGTTTTTCAAAAAAACATGTGTTTTAAATTAATGTATATACTTTTTGTCATGTGTTATGTCAGAAGCAGCTTCTAGGGACTTCCAAAAAAAAAAAAAAAAAAAGCAACTGCTGCCAATGTCAGCTTTGAGAGAGGGAGACTTGAGTTTGGGAAAGTAGTCAGTTAGTCAGTGTTGCATCACTGAAGTTGACGAGTGTCTTTGTATCATTCAGGCCCTTAGATGGGATTAAGAGAATAGGTGAATATTGAAGGTTATATAAGTTAGCAAACCTGATATCCTCATATCTTACCCCTCTTCTCCAYGCTCATGTGTTTCYGGTGTAGCATGGAACAATCTGTCAYAGAACTGTGACACTGCTCTGGAACTTGTCTAACCACATGGATAGTTGATTCAGTTGAATAACCCAGGAGAAATAACTTTTTACTTCATTTTTTTTTCTTCTGAATTCAGGAAATAGAATTATCTTATTGTGTGGTGAGAGGAGTGCCAGAGCAAGCACACAGGATGGGAATGGGAGTGTCCAGCCTGTAGCAAAGGGTTCGTGTCTCCTTCGGTAGCAAAGAGCCTTCAGGTCTGCTCAGCTGTAGCAATCGAGTSTCTTCTGTGTCACTGCAGAATATTGTGGTCAGAAAGAGGGTTATGTATAAACCTGAGAAAACAAAATAATTAAAGCACTTTGTTCTTATGGCTAATGTTAAATGAGTATTTCTTCTGTTTTATAAATAGCTTTGGTCTCTGTTTTTTGAAGAAATTGATAACTGCATTTTTGTTGTGCTTTAAAGAAGATTTAGCCTTTAAATTCATAGATTCCTGTCTGAGAAGATTGGCAGTTATAATGTTCACTGTCTCCATTGTTTTGCTCTTTTTTTTTTTTTTTTTTTTTTTTTTTTTTTTTTTT